AGGCGCCCGCCACAACGCCCGGCTATTTTTTGGTTGCAGCCGTCATTGTTGTTTGGCGGGTCCGGGCTGGGGATTCGAACCCGCCACCTTAGGTATACGTGGCTGGCGCCTTAGCCGGTTGAGCTATAGGCGCTGAGCCTTGAAAGTCTATTTTCCAAATAAAAATATTCCTATGTTTTAAGTTTTTGCAGTTACTTTAATGAAGATCTGAAAAATTGTAGTTAAGTATAATTTCAGCATTTGGTAAAAGTCAGACCTGATTGTGAATCTGCCATGGAGGCAAGCTTTTATGAGTCTGTGCAGCTCTGCTCTGATGAATGTTTTCCCAAAATTTATTCAATTAAGTATGGTTTCTAAGGCTTAGAACAGACTGTTTCTCCTTTTCAAGACCAAATATGAATGCAATTTTCCTTTTTTCTCTTTCCTCTTTCCCGTTTTGAGTTTGTTCAGGGAATAAATGGCCAAGAATTCTGCCAGCTGAGTCTCTCTTAAGGCCATAGTTTCTAGCCCATTTTCCTACTGTGATCTTGTCCTGGGTACAAAGCAAAGGACAACAGTGGGTCCTTCCTGTTTGTAACCTCCTTCCCAGGCTACCATTCATAACAGGTTTTTTTTCAGGAAGAAGCATATCCTTTTGGTCTTATAAACTGACGTTTAATTTCAAAGACTTTGAAGTTAAAGATGTATCATGTCCACTTCATGTAGTTCTTTTTGGAAAATGGCCTTGTTTGAACAGATACTGGTGAATTTCTGGATTCTGCGAAACAGTGTGAATAAACTTGCATAGTTTTTGTGCAGCTCATCAGGATGGAAGAGAATTAAACATGTGACTGTGATAGGAAAAACCTGCAAAAGATGCCATGGAATTCTGAGTTGGACTTTTTGGCTCATGGCTCATTGATTCATTTATGCTCACTTTTGCCATAGTCATTATCAGTTAATTGGGAGCCTTCTTGAGAGATTTACTTCTTTACTCTCTTTACCTTCAAGGAACCTAACTATGCTTTACCATTTGTGTATAGGTATGGTAAGCTAAGTCCAGCTCCTTTCTGTTTCAGTACAATTTTGTGCACCGCTGTCCATGCCATAGTGGTTTCCATGATGTTCAGCCAGAGCCTCTTTTAAAACTCTTTGTAACATTATATATTTAGCACTGTACTTATTATCTAAGACTCAAATGACCTTAGATCTCAATTATCTGAGACTCAGTTGTCTTATGGTTGTTCGTATACGTGTGTTAAGTCACAGGATTGTAAACATGAGGGATTAAACATTTTTTCAAATTTAATATCAGTTTGTTCATACTGAAACATACTATTCAACTGTACCAATCCTCTCCCATTGCTTTTGATGACTTAGAGGCAACTTGGCTTAGTTGTCTCCTCCATCCAAGTTTGTGATATCACCTTGATCTATGTCAGTGACTGTGTAAATAATAATAGGAACAACAAGAATGATAAAACGGCCTACTCCTCATGAGTACTGTCTATATGCCAGACTCTTTTCTAATCACTTTATGTTTATTAATTGGTTTAATCCTTCTAACAACTATGTAAAATAGATAACTGTTATTCCCATTTTACGGGTAGAACTAAGAGTCTAAGTGACTTCCCCAGTGTCATTAGAATTAGAAAGTGATCACTATACTGAGCTTCCTTGGTAACTGTCCTTAATCTCAAAGTTCCTTGACTTCAGCTCAAACAAACATTGGCTTCATTGTTCAGTTGCCCAGTATCATGGCCACATCTTCTCACTTGTCATCACTTTCAGATCTTAAACTCTAATAATATACAGATTTTACTTTTTCTTTTTTTTGTGAGACATAGTCTCACCATGTCGCCCTCTAGTAGAGTGCTATAGCTTCACAGCTCACAGCAACCTCCAACTCTTGGGCTTAAGTGAGTCTCTTGCCTTAGCCTTAGCCTGGGACTACAGGCACCTGCCACAGTGCCCAGGTATTTTTTGTTGCGGTTGTCATTGTTGTTTAGCTGGCCCAGGCCAGGTTCAAACCTGCTACCCTCAGTGTATGTGGCTGGCACTGTAACCACTGTGCTATGGGTGCTGAGCTTTTTTTGTTTTTTGAGACAGGGTTTCAAGCTGTTGCCCAGGTAGAGTACTATGGCATATAGCTCACAGCAACCTCCAACTCTTGAGCTCAAGCGATCCTCTTGCCTCAGTTTCTATTTTTAGTAGAGGTGGGGTCTCAACTTTTGCTCAGACTGGTTTTAAATTCCTGAGCTCAAGCAGTCTACCCCCCTTGATCTCCCAGAGTGCTAGGATTACAC